ACCCTGAAACAACCTCTGGGCTTATCTAAGTCAGGGCCGCATGACTAACTCACAGATAGAACCCTGAAACAACCTCTGGGCTTATCTAAGTCAGGACACGGCTAACTCACAGATCAAACCCTAAAACTGCCCATGGGCTGATCTCAAACGCCGGAGAATCCGGTGAAAGGCCCTATTAAAAACTCTACGTACACGTGATGTGGAGTCCAGGAATCAAACCCGAGAGGCGTGTACACTTTCGTATGTTTTTCAACGATTGTTACATCTTGTTATTTTTTAAAGGATCGTCGATGACCAAGAAATGTACGAGCAGCAGAAACCCTTCAGCTTGGACGATCTTGTTCACATGTCAACGTTTCTTAACAAACTCGTCTTTAAGTTGTACTGGAACGAGATTACTGACGGTAAGAACTACTTTCGCTATCACTTATCACTTGGTGCGCAAACTAGGAAGGAAGTAAGCAATAAGATAGATCGTCCTTGTTTTACAAGGGCAGCAATTACCAGGCAGTGGCTAACAAACTCGGTTCTATGCAGGGGCGGATCCAGGGGAGGGGAGCGCCCCTGCCAGGGGTCTTGGTCTCATATTGTTTTTGCTATTCCATGCCACCGTTGATGGTGACACTTACTTTCTACGTTAAACTATATTTTCGCAGAGAATAAGCCACAGAGCGTGTCTGCAGAGACTCTGCTCAACTCAGGTCACAGTCTCTTGATGATATTGTACGACAGAGACTGTAGAAGATCTTTCACACCACCCAACCACTGGCTCATCAAGTAAGTTACTAATAGACCGAGTAAGTCATGGATTTTGTCTTATCAAGTATCGTATGATTTTGCTCTTAGCAATCGTTGACACGGTGTATAGACAAAACAATAGGCCAGGGCATTGAATAGTAATTATTACAGTAGAATTGGTATAGCTTTGCAACGAGGAGGTACGGTTATGGTCATTGTATGGAATTGATCACAGCGCGCAAGATCCCTGCTTATTCAGTCAAGATGCGCGGGTACGACACGTGACGGTACGGAATTGACAACTTTTAACCAATTAATGCGCAAAACGATACAAAACGATAGATACTTGATGGAACTTGTACTGCTTCTGTAATGAAAGACTAACTCATTTAAACCATGTTTTGCTTCAGGGAGGTCAAGTCGAACACTTTCAGGGCTGAGCTTGCTGAAGGCAGACGAAGAGCTTGTGTCATTTTACAGAAGATACCCCACGTGATGCCGCACATAGAAGTATGTACATAATAATCTGTTGCGCTCAATAAGATTTTAGAAGATTTCACATGTAGTAGCTTGTCCTGCAACAAAACTATGAATTAAGGAATGTAACCTAATTCTGGCCTGCGGTATACTAAGATAATTAAATGTCATTGATTCAGAACGCCACGCCATTGACAGCTACGTCATATTCACACTGTGAGAATACCAAACTGCATTTTCTGTTATGCTGGTTTACCAAAACAAAAGATTTGGTTTTAGTTTCTTTAGTTATACCAGCCAAAATGGCAGTCTCTTCTGCATTCTCATGTGAAGAACGCCACCTATCGGGGGCGTATCCAGGATTTTTTCTAGGATAGGGGTGCACCGTATAGGATTTTCGTTTTAGGAGTGGGTGCACCCTTTGCTTGCAAACTAAAACACCAATAATGCAGTAGATATCATCTCATCTKGGGGKGGGGGRGGGGGGGGGGGGGGGTGGTGGGTGGTGCTCTCCCCCTGCATCCCTCCCCTAGATCCGCCCCTGCCTATAATTGTTTTTATTTATATTTTTAACTACAGAACCAAAGTAAACCGGGTTACATCCACTGTCATCACCTTGAGTTAAACATTACATGTTAAATCTATTGTCTGCATAAGAAACCGCTATAGCTGATTGGCCGAGTGATCTCGGCCAATCAGAGGCGGGATAGTGAGTAAATTGTATAATAACTCGGAATATTTTCTGGGAAATAGCGTGTACAGTTGTTTCGTGAATGCGTGGCTAAAGACAAAGAAGTCCTGGGAATAACACGACCAAACGATGACTTTGTTCCTCAGGGAACATTGATAACGGTCCGCAGAAATCGTCTTCTGGAGGTGAGACACCTATTGGATTTTATAAAATAACTGTTATAAATCTAGCATTCTGATTGGTTGGGAGCGCGTGCTTTATGAGAGCACACAGCACGCATGCGCCCTTTGCATTTTATAACAAAAATAAAAAACTTGCTTGCTGTGTGGTGCGGTGTGGAGTTATAAAGCACTAAAAGACTGGCAGAACACTCGAGAAATGTCGAGAAGCACTCCACTACGCGTCATGCTTCTCCTAACACGTCTCTCGTGTTCTGCCAACCCCCGCGCGTTTTCTATTTCTACGAAAAAGACGCCATCTTGGAAATGTATTCCCTAAAAGAGTTCCACAATGCACTGCAATGCCTACTCCACCCAGTTTTTTCTCAACCTTGAAAGGGCTAATGAGGTCCTCATAAAATTCCTTTATTCTTGTCCTGTTTGGGAATCAAGGGTGCGGTCACATGTGAATACAGTTCAATAGTGTATCCATAAAATTTGGACCAGTCTTTTTCAAAGCACTTGTTTGGTTTTCCCGCTCAAGTGACTGATGACGGGCTCAAACAATCTGCGACTGCCAGATATGGTTATTTTAACTTATTGCTTTCGAAAAATTGGCTGTTTTAGGATGGTTACGACCAGCTATCGAAACTCTCTCCTAAAGTACTAAAAGGAGTCATCAGGGTGCGCTTCATCAACGAACAAGTAAGTTGACAGAAATAGAGCTGATTTTGTATGACTGTGCCATACTCATGATACAGACCCACCGTGACCGTGACGTGTCCTCCTATCTTGTGATTGGTTCAATGATTGTTGTCAATAGGCCATGAGCATCAAAGATGGAGCATGGAAATCAAATGACCTATCGGAAATATTTTACTGTCATTTTTCGTATTTTGAAGTACTTTTTTATATAAATTGTCCAAGGAAGTACAGTATTGTGAGATGTATTTCAGTTAGAGGAGCCTAATAAGTGTATTCGGTTTCCTATCATGCTTTGTGCAAGAGATTCATGCTTGTCCACATTGGCTGTTCTGAATGTGCTGCTCGTTTCACAATCAATGAAATAAGAAAATCAACTCTATCCAGCACTTAAATGGTAATAACTGATGATAGCGATGTGGGAGAGTTAATAAACCTTTTAATAAGACAATGTTTTTCCCCATTTCAGACCACGTGTCATTCCTTAGAGTATCATTTCTTTGTTTAATGATTGCGCATGAGAAGACACATGAATATGGATACAACTAAAACAAAGAATCTTATTCTCAAGAGAATGACACGTGGTCTGAAATGGGAAAACGTTACGCCCAAGGTCTTTTAGAATGGCATGGGGGATATGTAATATATACAGTATGAGTGGCCGTGTTGTATCAGATATACAACCACGAGGCGTAGCCGAGTGATTGTATATCTGATACAACACGGACACGAATACTGTATATGACTTATCAAATGCATAGGTTAGTTCCTTTGTGTTTCACTAAAATGTTCAAAATTAAAATGAATTTGGCCAAGAAAATCCAACTTAAAGTTTATGCAAATGAACACAGTTTTGTATCAGATTTACAACACTCTTCACGGTCGTAATTTCTGTTGTGTTTTCCTCATGAATTATTAATGAGTTTGATAAATATAATATAAGGCTATAACATAATACGAGGCTTGTTATACAGGGTCTCCCAGAGGCTGGTATTGATCAAGATGGCGTCTTCAAAGAATTTCTAGAAGAAACTATCAAAAAAGCATTTGACCCAGGCCTTAACTTATTCAAGGTGAGTGAGGCTTTTTTCTCGATAACGCGCGCCGGATCATCGTAGATTTTGGTTTAAAGGGATACTCGTTTAAGTTTCCATATTTGGTTACGTCAGTGCGCGTACACTGATTGGTTCATAGATGTTTTACTCGGAGAAAAGAAACATGGATACCGCTGAAAATATGAGAGAAACACTTCAAATAGCTTTTGGACACCATTATGCATAAACGATCTTGCTGATGAAGGCTTCATTTGCGAAGCCGAAACGTCCAGTATTTTAAAGAATTTAAGTGAGAGACAATTCTTATTTATTTTATTACACTTGCCGTCGGCGGTGTGTTTCTCTTGACATGTACTTTTTTCGTTCTTTTGTTAGCATTACCGCAGCTCTCACCCCACCCCTATTGCTTACTATCGACCAACACTCCTTATCTCTACGTTTTTCAGACGACTACTGGTGACGAGCAGCGGTTGTATCCCTCTTCAACCTCATTCGTTCATGATAATCATCTGAATCTATTTGAATTTATTGGGAAAATGCTGGGAAAAGCTGTTTATGAGGTAAGATCAGTAGATAGACCAAAGGACAGACGATGAAGAGAAAGAGACAAACAGGCAGGCAGCGGGAGAGACAGATTGACAAACAGACAGACGGACATAAAGACAGACAGACAGGAAAAGACAGACAAACAGACAGAACGAACGAACAGGCAGACAGACGATGAACAGACAGAGACAAATAGGCAGACAGCCGTAGAGATAGATTAACAAACAGACGGCAGACGGACAGAAAGACAAACCGAGACAGGAAAAGACAGACAGACAAACAGACAGACGCAGTTAAACAGGGAAAGAGAAACAGGCAGGTAGATAGACATGGAATTATCATTTTTTTATTTAGTATATATCAACTATAATCATAATTTAAAACAAAGTTTTCTATTGCATTTGCTTTTAGGGAATTGTTGTAGAAGTGCCATTTGCTTCCTTCTTCCTAAATCACGTTCTTGGTCATCAACACAGTTCAATGTACAGTTCTATCGATGAACTGCCTTCACTGGACCAAGAGTTGTACAAGAGTCTGACCTTTATCAAGGTACGTATCAATCTGTATTCAATGTACAGTTCTATCGATGAACTGCCTTCACTCGACCAAGAGTTGTACAAGAGTCTGACCTTTATCATTAATAGATAATTACTGAGGCACGCAGCATTCGTAGGTATAATGCAGGCAGCTGAGGGCGTAGCATTATACCTACGAATGCTGCGTGCCGAAGTGATTATCTAGTATAATTATTGTTCTTATCAAAATCCAATTGTTTTCTTTCTAGCTTGTTTATCATAGAAACAAAGCCAATAATGAATGAACTAAATATGTCTGATTTTCCTCTATGCATTCGTTGGGATAATGCAGACTGAAAACAATGGATTTTGATAAGATCAGTAATTATAGGTACGTATTAATCTGTACTCAATGTACAGTTCTATCAAGGAACCTCTCTTTCTTTGTGTGGTGCAAGGCACCTAAAGCACGAAGACAATAAAACGATAGCCAATGAAATGAATTTGAAGCTAAACAATACCCTGCAAAACAAAAACCCTAACCCAGAATACAAGAAAGCTTGCTACACAAACAAAGACCCCGATAAACTGACCTTCACTGGACCAAGAGGCGTTTAATATTTCATTTGCTAAAGGTTGCCATTTATGTTCCTAGAATTACGATGGTGACATAAGAGACCTCGATTTAAGTTTCGCTTTTGAGGAAGATGTCTTGGGAAAGGTGAGTACAAACTTAGATATTTACTGCTATTATTTATAATATTCAATATTTTGGGTTCATTACATTACTGTACACAGGTCGTCACCCATGAACTCAAGCCTGGAGGAAGTGTTATTCCAGTCACGAACGAAAATAAGTAAGTATTCTGTGTGTTCTTCAAACACTTTTCACGTCCATAATGATAGGACGATGGTTCGAAAGCTTGAAGGTCGTTAATTGTATAGAAAAACGACTTCCGGGTCCAACACGAAAAGGATTTCTTTAAAAAAATTGTCTTACGTTTTCTGTATGACAGGGTTTTTTGTCCAAGGTTCTAATTGTTTCATGTACGTAGAGGTTAAATCATTGAGAAACTTTTTCTTAGTTGTTTTGTCAGCAGTTCAGTGGACCCAAAAGTGCAGTCTAAAAGCTCTTTTGTTAGCCTACCACGCAACAGACACTAAAAACGTTTGTGTAAGAGGCTACTCTTTTGTTAAATTGTTAAAAAACTAGAAATTTAGAAACTTTTTCTTAGTTGTTTTGTCAGCAGTTCAGTGGACCCAAAAGTACAGTCTAAAAGCTCTTTTGTTAGCCTACCACGCAACAGACACTAAAAACGTTTGTGTAAGAGGCTACTCTTTTGTTAAATTGTTAAAAAAAACTCGACGTAGAAGAAACCAAATATAACAAATTAAAAATTTGAAGAAAGCTTTTGAACCGTTACTTTATAGCAAGGTCTAAATCTCTTAACTTACTTTCTCTTTATAGGATCAGCTACGTTCACCTTATGGCTAACTATCGAATGCGCTTACAACACCACAACCAAACCAAATCCTTCATCCGGGGATTCAAATCTATAGTGCGTTCTGATTGGCTGCGTATGTTCTCGGCCCCAGAGCTACAACGTCTGATCTCTGGTGATAACGCAGCTCTGGACTTGTCTGATTTAAGGTCAGGGATATTTTGCGAAAGGCTTCTTTACATTGTACCATTTGTGCATATACTCTGCCCCCCGCCTACCCCTCCCCCGGCCCACAGCCCACGGCCCACTTGCACTAAGAGATCACGTGACTTCGTTGCCCTAAATCAAAAGGTGTGTCAAAATTAACATCAGAAATGTAAAGTGCACCTTAATATTGGTAAGGAGATGTAGCTTCAGCTCATAATATATGGCACTAAAGAAATGACGTTGGATATAATTTTGAACGTTTTTTTGGGGGGGGGGGGGGGGGGGGATTGGTGTGGAGAAATTTCCACCAATATCCTTCCTTTAAAAATATTCGGTTTTATATTTAATGCCATTTCGGTTTAAGGGGTTATGGTCACATGACCTCTTAGTGCACGAACACTGTCGTGACAAGGCAAGGCATACGACAGCCCAATCACATTGCATGAGAATTTACTCTCCATCCAATCAAATGTCCGTAACACGGCATGAACACGGCCAGACCAAATCGCCCAATCCCACAATCAAAGTCCTAGAAAACATCAATGTCGCCGCAAGGCACGCATACGGCACCGACTTTTTCACAGTCATGCGAAAACTGTTCTATAGACCTTTTTTGAGATAGCGAACATGGTGCATTGTGGTCTAGCTTCGGTACGAACATCTTTTGTTCATCATGCCTTATATGGTGTTGTTTGTACCGAATCTAGACCACAATGCATCATGTTTATCGAACTCAGAAAAAGACTATGGTTTCCATTGTTTCAGGAAGCACTCTCGTTACTATGGAGGTTACCATAGCGGCCATCGTGTAGTGGTTTGGCTGTGGGAGATCCTGGAAAAGGATTTCAATGACAAAGAAAAATCACAGTTTCTGAAGGTAAGATTATTAGAAATAGTGGGTTTGCTTTGATTCGAGATATTTATTGTTTCAAGTGCATTCATGCCATACATGCAACTGAGTTCGACATATAAATTTTACATTTTTTGAGATAACGAACATGGTGCATTGTGGTCTAGTTTCTAGATTTTTTCGCCTTGTTCTATATGGTGTTGTTTGTACCCAAACTAGACCATCATGCATCCTGTTTATGGAACTCAGTCAAGGCCTATGCCTTTGTTTTTGTATTGTATTTAACTGCATAATTGTATTTTTAAATTTCTGTTTTCTTTTCTTTTCTTATTTTCTTCTTTTTCCCCCCAGTTTGTTACCAGCTGTTCTAAACCTCCTTTGCTTGGCTTCGAGCATCTTGAACCGCCTTTCTCTGTCCGTTGTGTGGAATGCAGTGATGACGAGGTAAAGCTCTTCAATAACCAGGTTTTTCTGAAATCTGTTTACAGTTCTTTTAAGGTCTCGCAACAACAGTAGACTACTCTTCTTTCCTAGTTCGTTCGTTCGTTCGTTCGTTCGTTCGTTCGTTCGTTCGTTCGTTCGTTCGTTCGTNTCGTTCGTTCGTTCGTTCGTTCGTTCGTTCGTTCGTTCGTTCGTTCGTTCGTTCGTTTGTTTGTACTTTATGAATAAGACCATATATCTTTCTGATTATGTTCAATACTTATTAGGATGATGGTGATACGGTGGGAAGTGTCATTCGAGGATTCCTGAACATCAGGCGTCGACGTGAGCCCGTAGGAAGACTACCAACAGCATCAACCTGCTTTAACCTGCTTAAACTACCCAACTATCATAAAAAAAGTACGCTCAAAGAAAAACTAAGATACTCGATTCAATGTAATGCTGGCTTTGAACTCTCATGACATATGTCTATGACATTCCATATCACGTGCCCAAAATTTATTTTCCCCCAAAAAATGGCATGGAAACACTTTGATTGACGTGTAACGTAACAGGACAATAATACAATTCAGAAGAAGAGTAAAATAAAGGAGAAACAGCAGACGCCTGCCTAGGCCTGGATCGACATCGGCTCTTCTCTTCAGCAAGAAGGAAGTGGTTAATTTTGAATACTAATATAGAAAGCACTCGGGCATAGCAACTTGTTCCTTCTTGTCAAGATGATTGGCAAACCATGCAGTAAACCATACAATATAAAGTGAAAGTACATAACGTAAAAATATCTAGAAGTTTCAAAATCATCTTTAATTCAAAATTAATAATTGAAAAGTTAAAAATGTGTTACAAAACCCTTTAAAAATACCATACCGTAAACCTTCGAAAATAAGCTCTACTTTTTATACTTGTTCAACGTGCCTTTGTGGTCTTGGATCAAAGCAATAGAAAAACAATAGAATCACGTGATATTGGGGTTATTAATTTCTGGCTAAAATATTAATAAAGATAAATTAAACTTGGCAACAATTTTTACTTGGGTTGAGTAGTTTTACTTTATTAATGGTTCCCTTTTACTTTCTTACGCAACTGAATAATTTATATTTGAAAACACTTACAGTCAAACCACCTCAAGCATGAACCTGTAGAGGTCATTACCAATGGTAATGACTTTGTTTTTGGATTCTTGATTTCATTATTCGATTCGAAGATTCATTAATGAAAACGAATCTTCAATATTCAAAAAATAATTATTATTTGAAAATTCGATTAACTTGGCTTGTAGGCCCTTGTTTATAGCGCAAGCTGCGAAACAGATGGTAAGTCATTAATATTACATATTCCCTGCACAAAAAGTTGTTTTTGCATTCCAGTTGCATGTATGCTTGGCTTTTATATATGCTAGGCTTTGAAGACTTCGTTTCAATAATGAATCTTCGAATCGAATAATGAAATCAAGAATCCAAAAGTGAAGTCATTAATGACCTCTACGTGTTCACGCTTGAGGTGGTTTGACTGTAACTTCTTTTCCGCATTCCACTGTTATACGACATCTATTAATAGCTTTAGCAGGAAGCTGATTCAAACATTGTTACTCGAAGCTTGTTCAAGTAGACTACAATTCAAGATGAAGGGACTACTTCTCGTCTGTGTTTTCAGTGCTTTGCTCGTGTGTTTCTATTGTAAACCAGCCGGACCGAAGGAAAATCAACAGCTTGGTTTAGCCGTACAGGTATGAAAGTTTATAACCAGGTATTCATTATATAGATAGCCAATCTTTCGCAGTCTCCATAAGTATCAGTTTTTGTTTCAGTTCAAATTTTGAATCTCAGGATTCTGAGGATTAGGGTTGGGGAGTTTGCTACTAAAAAAGGTTTCGCAAGTTGTTCAAAACGTTTTCATGAAACTACCAAGCGAAAAACACGTAGCATGACTGTACAACTCAGACAGAATTATTTCCTCAATATAATCAGATAAATACTTCATAAAACTTAACAAACACCTTTTGATTTTGAAAGGATTCCCTGTTGGGTGCGTTTGCAGCCGAAGAAAACAATGTAAGTTTATAAACAATACCTTGTCAGAAATTATTTTTGTGCACAAGAAATTAAAGGAAAGATTAATAAAGTTGTTTTCTTTCTTTATTCTAAAACTGTAATTTTTTTCCCTTCTAACATATAGGCTGAAGACGATGCTCAATTACCAGCTATTAATGATGTCGCGTCAGAGTAAGTATGCTATGATTTTTTTCCTGCTTGAAAACGAAGTACAGCATGGATTGTTTTAACTTCCGCTTTTGAAATCTTTAGGTTGGCGAGCGTATTAAAAAGAGTAAAAAGCGGTTAAAAACTCAGTGAAGATTATCAGCAGAAAAACTCACTCCTATAAAGTAAAGGAAAAAAGTCTTGAAATATTCCTGTTAAAACGTAAATTTGACCAACAAAATGTCTAGAAAAGCTGATACCTAATCATTAGTATTAGTAATACTTAACTATGTATGAATGTTCGAATTTTTAAGTTCCGAGGTTCTGTAATATAATATTGCAAAACAATAAAACTGTTCTTTACTGATGTATTTAGAAGGGTTTGTAGGCAGCGTGACATAGACCTTATCTATGAGATAGTGAACATGATGCATTGTGCCCTGAGCTATAGCTTTGTTACAAATACCTTCTGTTGATCATGTCTTATTTACATTTACATTTTCATTTTAT